CTTACTACTACTGTTCAAAGGTCTCCAAATATTATTAAAGAAAAGGCCTGTTAACAAGTTAGTCAGGTGACTCCTGCTGAAATGGGGGCATAAGTTACCGTGAATGGCGCAGTTAATGCAATAGCTAGAACTCAATCCCACTCTTCTTGATTTTCCCCAAGAGTTAACTACAAGACCTCTATATATGATCAAAGGGGCACCAGCTGGTACAAAGGCGTAGCTAAACAGGAGGGATGACAAAAAGCTGTATGTGAAATAAATATCTTGAAATGTCAAGCCTGATGTCAGTCAACTGTTTGGGGACCCACCTAGAAGAACCTTTGACATGCCATAGACACCAGTCAGCTTTGCCTGAACTGAACCACAGCTTTTACCCACTTCCCTAGCAATGCTTCGCAGGTCTCACCTTCTTTCAAACATGAACAGATCGTGCACAGCTCCGGCAGTTTCATCATTGGTGACCTCTTTAGGCTACCCAGGTGGCTCATCATCTCCAATGCTCTCCCTGCCCCTCTTAAATTCAGCAGCCCATTTTTTCACAGTGCTATAGGAAAGGGACTTCTTCCCAAGTGTATACATGAAGTCTTCGTGGAATTGATTGGAGGACATCCCTTTCTTACAGAGGTACTTAATGACGACTCTGATTTCAACTTTCTCCATTTAATCTGTGAAAAACCGCGTGTAACTTGGTCAGTAATCTTTTATAAGATATTGGTATCAACGTATAGTGTGTAAATGTCAGTGTAGTGGCTAGAAGTATATCGGGCCGACAAGTTTTTGATCATGCCTCGTATATAGAGAGATTGATGCAATTCAATCCGTTTTAGTACATCAATTATTATCATGCTTAATGAAGGAAAGATTTTGCAGGGGAGAGTGTTTTCCTGAGGTGCTCCTTTTTTCAAGTGTCTGGGTGACACAGATGAATTCAATCATGTTGTTTAATTGAGCCCTTAACTGTCAATATAATTTATAAATTAAAAGATAGAACACCCCGGGGATGTTAAACTGGTATTATGCTCTATAATCCTCTTTTAAAGAACTCTTTTACTGTTGCTCTTTTGACCCAAAGACATTTCTACGTCGTCATGAGGGGTTTGACGTTAATGGAAGATATATAGATAGATCATATATCATGGTTGAGTTTTTGTTAAGTTATGTAATTGTTTTGAATTTATTTGTCTGTTTTTATAATAGTTGCTTGTCCAATATCTCTTCTTAAAATTTGAATTTCTAATGAAATCATTTTGTTGATTCTCTAAAAAAAATATAAAAAATATAACTTATATGAAATATTGTTCAGAATAATAAAGACTTGTTTTCATTCAAGTTAAACAAAAACAATGATATTTGAAAGGAGATAGAAATAATTAAGATTTAGATTTATAATGGTAATAATTGTTAATAAGTTTTCTCTTTATATATGCGCATCATCTTTCAAACATACCAAGTCACAATAAGTCATCTACAAACATATTTTATAAAGATCTGCAGGATATGTACTTAGATTCATTTATGATCAAGACATTTAATCATTTTCACTGATGAACAAACCTGAGCATGATAAAAGACATACTATTTTATCAAAGTATTTTTTTTTTGTACAGAAACATCTTTGTTAAATACGATGCAATTCATAGGTTACTCAAGTCGACAAGTTTCACCATTTTTTGTTTATTTCATTGCTGTCAAGAAATCGCCCAGACTTCCGTAACATAGTATGTTATGGTTTCATGAAGTGCCATATAATAATCTAACAATTTGTAAAAGGGCTGTTAACAAGTTAGTCAGGTGACTCCTGCTGAAATGGAGGCATTAGTTACCGTGAATGGCGCAGTTAATGCAATAGCTAGAACTCAATCCCACTCTTCTTGATTTTCCTCAAGATTTAACTACAAGACCTTTAATTATATATGATCGATGGGGCACCAGCTGGTACAAAAGGCGTAGCTAAACAGGATGGATGACAAAAAGCTGTATGTGGAATGGCTTGACCATTTCATCAAGAATTGTCATTCCTCAAAAAGAAAATCCTGTTTTACTGATGACAGATAATCATGAGAGCCATATATCTATAGATGTTATAGACTATATTGGCTTTGCCCGTATGTACAAAATGAGAATAAAGATCAAGGCAAAGGCAACGTTCACAGGACGCATCCCCTGACACACCCAAGCTACCACAGCAGGGTACCCAAAAGGCACCAAACCAAATCCGGGAGTGGACAGCGAAAGGAAGAGAAGGATACGTAATGTGTGAAATAATAAAAACTGAAACTGAAACTGATCTATTTAATTAAACGCCTATTTCTATATACATATTCAATTGCGTTGTACAAAAGGATAATAAAAGTATGTAAATATAGATAAAAAAAACACATATGCATGACAAATGAACTACAAAAAAATATGTTAAAGATATCAGTCGTGTAAAATATAAAGTATTAAAAACTTTAAAAAAAAAGAGATAGTTGTTCACAATCTTAAAACAATGCGTAAAAATCTCTAAAATAGTAGGTTTTGACATTTTTCTTGAACATGTCCAAAGTCGAAGACTGTCTTATATACAGAGGCAATTTATTCCAGAGAGTTGGACCAACGGTACTAAAACTTCTGTCGTTAAATGTTTTCCTTTTGTTAAAGGGGACAGCAAAACAATAATCCATATTATCAACAGATCTGAGATTTGATCTTTTTATGACAGGCTTGTGTAACAGTTCTGTTAGATAAACCGGAGCATTGCCCATAAAACAGTTATACATTGTACATAGTATTTTAAAATTGATCCTAGCTTTAATTGGTAACCAATGCAGTTCCAACAAAGAGTCTTTGGAACTATCATATTTATCGCGTTGCAAAACAAGTTTAGCGCACATATTCTGGATACGCTGTAATTTCTGTAACTCACTTTCTGAAATGCCAAACAATATAGCGTTGCAATAATCCAAATGTGAGATTACAAGCGACAATACTAGGATTTTTGTGGCGTCCTGAGTCAGATATTTGCGAATGCTCTTTATTCTCAAATAATTTAACATGGCAGTTCTACACTTGGTCTTAACATGTGTTGAGAATCTTAGGCCCTCGTCTAAGTAGGCACCTAAGTATCTTATGACACTGACATTTTGAATTTTATCACCGGCGATATCAATTTCTTTAATTGATCATTTACCAAGTTGGGCTTTACTACCAAACATAATGAATTCTGTCTTAGTGGTGTTCATTTTGAGTTTGTTGGCATTCATCCAGTCATTGATGACTCCAGCACTGTCTTCAAGTTGCTTTATAGCGTTAAGTTCATTGGTCACTGAAGTTGGTCGAAAGCGTTGACTAGCAATGTGGTCATCAGCAAAGCCGTACACAGATATGGATGGTGGTATCACATCAAATAGGGTTCCTGCATATGTGACTATAACTATAACGGGCTCATATTGGAATTAAAGGGACAAGGGCTAATAGGGTGAAAAGGGGTTCAAAAATGGGAAAAGGTGTGAGAAAATACTTACCGTTAACCTACAAGCCATAAAATTCAGCCACTTGACAGAACTGTTTATGGATCGCTTAAGTCATTCTACAATACTGCTTGTGATAGTTCGCAACTCTCTCACTCTGGACAGCCAATGTCTATTTATGATGTAGCTGAGAATTTAGGGAAGGCATTTCCACGTGCATTCACGCATGAAAACATTATTCCTTGGTTTCAAGCAACTGGTCTTCATCCTTTTGACAGGAAAGTCTTACCTTGCCACATTTGTTACGGACAGACCTTGCCAAGCAGAGCTAGCAGTAATTAAGTCAAGTAGATAAATATACCTTATTAGAAAATAAGGTAGATAATTAATTTAGTGCAGGGTTAACAATATATTTGTTATAATGCTAGTTCAACAAAGTGATTTTATGCAAGCATAATTTACTATCATTATTTAAAAAACTATGACTAAAACATTTCATTCCGTCTAAAGAAAATTAACATAACATACAGATTGACTGGAAGTGAACTTGAAAAATGATCTAGATTTCTGAACAGTTGGTCAAAGGTAATGATATTTCGGATGGCATTCAATTTTGGTAGTTCGATACAGTGGGCAATCAAGGACAAAACATTACTCATTCTCTACTTCTTTCAGTTTGTATCAATGTCACTGTGATGTAAATTTATGGACATAGAAAACGGACTGGATAATGCTGTATGTATGTTTATTTACATTGGCACATAATTACATATAAATATAAGAGGATTGCATACCGATATTTTAGGAATTTCAATGATATATTTTTATAGTTACAGTGTAACAAACCGTTCCTGTATCAATTTAATTTATTTTTGTATTTTCAGATATTTTCGTGTTCAGACGAGTGCGTCCCTTAATTTGTACAGCCATTATATTTTGTTTAAGAAAAAAGTCTGAAATTCTGATTGGACTTTCTAATAACTCACTTAATTGCTTTAACACAGGTAAACTATAATTTTAACAAACACAAAATTACAATACTGTTATATTTATATAAAAATGGTCAATTACTAGTATACATGAGAACATTATCTGACAAATAAGCAAAATCTAGATCATTCAATAAAAAGTAAGTGCTCATGAATCTTTAAAGCCACATGCCTCCAGATGAGCAAAAATATTTCAATAAGATTTAACTTGAGAAAAATGTTTGAAGAGATTTTAGGAAAAGTAAATATTTTCAAGATTTAAGTAATAAATTACATGTTATGTGTAACACTTAATGGCTGATTTTTCAAGATTTATAGCTATATTTTTACTTTGTTACTAACGCAGTAAGGGCTATTTTTGCACATTTTGACATCTTTTTGGTAATTTGCATGCGTTACAATTGCCATTTATAATGTGTTTATTGCTTCCTTTTGATTACTTCACAATATTATACTTTTTAATACATTTTCAAAATTTTCATGAAAATTAGCATAAATCTGGAGGTGTGCTGCTTTAAAATAAAAATCATACATAAAACAAATATTTATTAATATACAAAATGTACTTCACAATATCTTATCAGTACATAAATAAGCAGAGGTATTAAAACTCGCCGCTTCCTTGAAATATCAAGATGCCCTATGTCAAGTTCACAATATAAGTGTATAGTTGCCATTGTTGTTAGATAAACGCTTGTTTTGATAAATAAGAAACTTTTTCTATATATGGATTGATAGGAACTCCCAAAATTGCACAGCCATTATTACATATAGAACAGATAATTGTATGAAGTAATTCAACTTCTTCCCTAATGTTAAGTGAAACAGAATAAAAAAGGAATTATTTGTAAAGAAAAATGTTCTTGAAGCTATTTGAGAACTAAATTTGTTGACAGAATAACGCCTAAACAACTATACCAATCGCGTATTGTTATCCGTGTCTACTACATAGTCTAAACATTTTCAAATTTAAAAATATGCATGCAGTTTGTACATTAAAGTTTGCAAAGTCTTAAGTGTAAGAAATAATACAAAATCAGTAGCGAATAAGTAACATAAAATCTCACAAATCATTTATGAGATATCGTCAAAAATACATTTTCTTAAAAATATATTGTACATGACTTTCGATGTTTATTCACATGACTATATTTCAGAACATTTCAGTTTGAACTGTAGACTTGGTCAAAGGTCATATTTAAAATCTGCAATGTTTTACAGACTGAGCATGTTTTTTCTATCATGTTCAATATTTCTGTTTTGCAAAGACTGTAATACAAATATGCAACATAGTACTTCTGTTCTGACAAAAAAACTATTGACATATATGTATAATGAGAAATCATTACAAATCATGGTTTTTCATACAAGCCAAAAATACAATAATTATCACAAGCAATAGTAATACTACGAGTAATATTGAGTCATCTGAAATATAAAAGCAATGAAGAATGAAATAACATAAAATATTAACATAAATATATAACATATTAGATGATTGGCTATAGTATTTTGCTAAAAGTATGTTAAATATGACAAACAAACAAAACTGATATTCGTTTTCAACACAATACTTATATCATATTTTGCGCAAATTGTAAAATATGTGGACAATTATCAATTAGACAGAGCCAGGTTTACAGAATGGAGTCCCGACAAACCAGTGTACATGACCACCACAAACGTACCCAGAATAACTCCAAAGAGAACGAGGGTATGGGGAGCACAAAGAAGAAACATGGAGGGGTTGTACTGATAACGAATAGAAATTAACAACTAAATAAGGTAACCCTCGATGTTTAACTGTGAATCTTAGAGGGTGAAGTTAAATAGTTACGGTTTACGCTAAGACAAGGAAATGTACAGGGAGAGGGAGTGTTAAAATAGGAAGGCATCGAGAGGTTGTAATAATATCGAATAGCACTAAATAATTAAATAAAGTAACCCCTCGAAGTTTAAATGTTAATCTTGAAGGCTGTGGTAAAATGGTAAGAGTTTACACAAATTAAAGGAATTGAAAATGGGAGGGAGTGTAAAAATAGAAAGATAAGTAGGTTATAAAATTGAAACTAACGCAAATATGAAACCAAAGATCAACAAGGAAGGGTGGTATCCAATGAAGGCATCCCTGAACACAACCCAGCAACATACTATGTTACGGAAGTCTGGGTGATTTCTTGACAGCAATGAAACAAACAAAAACTGGTGAAACTTGTAGACTTGAGTAACCTATGAATTGCATTGTATTTAACAAAGATATTTCTGTACAAAAAAACTACTTTAATAAAATAGTATGTCTTTTATCATGCTCAGGTTTGTTCATCAGTGAAAATGATTAAATGTCTTGATCATAAATGAATCTAATTACATATCCTGCAGATCTTTGTAAAATATGTTTGTAGATGACTTCTTGTGACTTGGTGTGTTTGAAAGATGATGCGCAAATGGAGAGAGAAAACTTATTAACAATTATTACCATTATACTATCTAAATCTTAATTATTTCTATCTCCTTTCAAATATCATTGTTTTTGTTTTACTTGAATGAAGAATAAGTCTTTATTATTCTGAACAATATTTTATATAAGTAGAAGCTATATGTCTATGAATAAATTTAATATAACGAACATAAATATAAATGCTAAAACAAATGCTAAAATTAATTCGTTAACAATGGCAAAGTTAGAATCTGATTTTCAATGAGAATTATTGTTTATATAAATGTACTTACATAATTCAATGATACTATTATGCAGGAGACACCTCTGTATATGGTATTACATCAAACAATTTTACTTTAAATGCCAACCAATATCTATGTGCACTGGTTCTGAATACAATGTACACTACATTCTACAATAAATAACAAACAAATGTGATGATTACTAAAAGAGAAGATGACGGTTCATGAACAGCCCGGCTTTTATACACTATACACGTAGATATCAGCTATAAATTTAAGTGTCTCTCTTATAATATGAACAACTTTTTTGCAGCATCGAGACATATATCTGAATATATGAGACATACATTATGTGTATCTGAAAATGGCTTAAGAAACTTTTGAAAGACTAGAAGTGTCTGACAATTTTTTGCACAAGATTACTTTTTTGCGAACTTATTTCATAAGTGATCTTCTAGATTCGTTCACATATCTGAACAACAACTGGCTGCTCATATAAATTACTACTACATTACACTTTATTTACAACATATATTATAGACTAGTTTTTATCATAAAGTTATATAACTGTGATAGGTCTTTAATCTTTAGTCCCTAACCCAAACTATTATGATAATGAACAAAATTCAAAAGCAAAACTTAATGTGAATGAATGTAACAACTAACTGATGTATTCTCTGATAAAATATTTGGATTTTATAGGAATGTCAAATATCACATGCCTTATCTTTGATCCCATCCAAATTTACCAGCTATTTAACATGCTTTCACATTCAAATATAATTAGAAGTATAGAAGAATGGCTTTTCGAAGATTAGAAGTATCACCCATGGTATTGGATGTATAACTGACAAAGTTTCAAAAATAATCTAAAACTTTACATTATTAAACGTTATCACATTCTTGGCACAAATGTTAAAAATACAAGTTATTACCATATTGTTTGAAAAATATTTGCGATTTAAGTTCAACTTTTGTATCAGTTACATAGAACAACAATTTATTTTCTTCTTTATCTAATTTTAGAAATAGCAAGAAAGAATCATGTTTTTGAAATGAAATGAAAAGAAACAGAACCAAAGAATGCATTTATGAAATTCTTTTTATTTTGGTAAACTGAAATAGGTATATGTCAGATTTGATAAAATAGAACGAGGATGGATTAAAGAATACGGTCATAATTGCCATCTATCAATGGAGTATCCATATATCTTAATATTTGAGGCCCCTCATGCCTTAAATAATTTGTGTGAATGTACAAAATATTATATAATCATTAATAATCAAGTAATTGTAATATTAGTTTGTTATACATGTATTTCAAAATAAAGGCAAGATATTTATATCATTTACATCAATACTGTCATTTTAAAAAATATAAGAAAACAAACAAAAACAAGCAAAAACAAAGAAGTACAAAAACATACATACACAATTAAAAACAAACAAACAATCTCTATCTGGTATGGAGTGAAATTATTTTCCTTATCAGGTGTATTCGAATAAAAAAAATAGTACGATTGCCCATTTATCATTTTCATCTTCTGGTAAATGTGTCCTTTTGTAGATATTTCATACCAACTTCATATAATAATTGTCTAGATAAACTTCTGAACATTAGTGAAAAAACGAGAAGACAAAATAAAGAATTCGTACCATTCAGAATCGAAATATTAACCTTTAAAACTGTAAAATAACCATATTTTCCCTCATTTAACACGAAAAAGTACATGTATATTTGCAAATATATCTTAATAAAAAAACCCACACACATCATAATCTGATCATTAAAATGTTGTCTCCGGGTAGGGTTTGTTGCCACACCCCATGAATTAAATTAATACCTGTCAGAATTGAAGTTCTGCATTAGGTATCTAATACTGTTCTATAAAGACCAAATAACTTCCTTGTTTCATGTATAGAAAATGTACACGATAATTAATATTTAGCTTAAGATTTTTTCGTATTTCTTTAATTATCTCATTATTTTAGGATGGCATTCAAAATGATTCAGATCCCTATTGTTAAAAAGTCTATTTTGGACATAAGATATACAATGTATCACATATTCTACTATATTTAATCAATGAATTGGAAGATAGGTTGATGAAATTAAGTAAATGTTTGTTATTAAAATGTTATATGACAGATGTTTTTTTCTTAACAGATATGTAATTTAAAACATAATAATATATTTATACAGTGCACACCGTTAGAATGGACTGAACTTCCCGTTACAACCATTGTGGTCCATGACACAAAATATCATAAACAATGTGATTACCTAAACTAACAGGAATGTTGAAAATTAAACATTAATTTAACACTTAAATTTATAAGAATTGCAGTGTGTTATTCTAAAATAAATATCAAAGAGATTACACCGCAAGGAAATCAGACAGATTTAAAGAGTATCACATACACGTATAGTTACGACGGTGTTATCATAATATGCACATCACATGAAAGAGGGTCGAGAGCAATACTCTGTTTGCCAAAACTCCGTACCCTGAAAGCAGGTCATTTTCTTATGATACAATTTTACTGACAGAGGTTATTTCTTAGTACAAAATGCCGTAAATTTCTAGCAGTTAACAAATGCTTGTTTTCTAGTGTTAATTGTGCTTGAGAACATTTAAGTAAATAATGAAGAACTTCTTCTTGTTCACGACTTTCTTGCTTTTTTAAGTGGACGTATACTATAATACAAAGGACAAGGAAACACATATAACGAGGATAGGTAAAAAAATGTATTGCTGTGTACACATGTTGCCGGCTATTTGTGAGCAAGCAGTGTCGCAATATCTGTGAATACTTTGTTTGGTTCCCTCATGATCTACAAAAGATAAAAGAATAAAAGTAAAACGCATCCATTAGCTAACATGCAAACAAAGTTATTGTAGAACTGAACACACAAACTAAATATTTTTGTATCAAATGATAATTATTTGCTTGGTTAAAAGCGTATGTCAGCATGTACTCTCCTGTGCGTAGGTTGAATTGCCGTATACTTTTTTACTTAAAGTAATGGCAGCTGGTGTATTTAATAACCTGCTAAGGGAGCATAGTCAGAATACTAAAGATGAGAAAAATGCTGATCGAAGTTACAAACTTAACTTTTCCCCCGAAAAGTTATATACTAACCACTAGTTTGATTTATGTTAAGTTTATGTTTATAAATGTAGGAAATGTAGACGGTGCTTGAAAGGTAGCACAATGTATTTGCATTACTAAAATGTGTCTGAAAGACACGGATGCCCTCGCTATTTATGTCAAGAAACCGAATGATATAAATAAAAGATGTTGTGACCGGACAGCATAGGTTGTATTTCTAAAACATTTTGCAAGAACAGATGACTGTTGACATAAACATGTTTTTTATATTAACAAGGCCTAAATGTTAGAGACAAAGAACTTTAAAAGAGATATAGACATGGAAACCAGAAAGTCAGTAGAATGGTTTATCTTGCAAGCTTATAAATAATAAAACAAAATACATCATGTACTTACATGGGCACTCTTGTCTGCAATATTCCGATTTATCAGAACCGCATATAAACGAACATCTATGACAGGTTTTGCTGTTCCAGAAGTAAGACGTACCACACAACAACCTTGAATCTAAAAGTAAACATTAAAAGTGCACTTATATAACTACGTACTGCTTAGGCAGACTAAATTAAAGGACTTGGGTGATAGCTTAATTACATTCACCACCACTAAAATAGAGAAAAACGAAATTCCTTAAGTCCAAAATGACAAAATTGAAAATGTTGCAGACACAGTTTCATGGACGGTATCCTACCTTTAGATACAACTTCCAGAAGCCCTCCTATGTCGTTGTCTTCACTTATGCTCAGTTTAAATTTATGTTTTCCGTCAGTGGCAATACTGACAAAAGTGAATGACAGATCTTGTCCTCCTGTGAACATTACGTAAGTCACTTTGTCTTCCAAATATTGTTTAATCCTTTCCCTTTTCTCTATTTCCGAATCTTTGTCCAATACAAAGAAAATCAACGTTGCCATTTCTTGAGAATCGTGACGACCTCGGGTTCCTTCTATAGCTCCTTTTATATGTTTGAAATGAATTTTTCGCTTCATACTCTCTTGTTCAGGTCCAAGTTGTGAAATAATTTTCTGCCATTCTGATTTGCCTATGAAGATGTCGATAGTTTTTTCAGAAATTGCTCCTATGAGTGTGAGATGAGCTAAAGAGCCATTTGGCATGTCTTTTATTAGTTTACTTATAGCATTTCTTTGTGTGTAAAATATTTTGTCATTACTGCAGATGTCCCAGAATAAGTAAGCTCTATATGGTTTACATTTTGTCTTGGTGTCTGTTACTGAAGCTAAGAAGAAAAAGATTTTTTTTAAGTTTTAACATAACAAAATGCAACACATAAGTGTTAACATGTGTCATCAAGTATACACATGTTGGATAACAACAATATTTTCATTATTTTATTCATAATTACCAAGTGATCCGTATTATCACAATAATATTTTTACTTAAGATATTTCGCGGACACAACATTTCGCAGTTTTAGGATGTTTAATTCGTTCAACAATAAAATTCTAAACAACATTGAATTACAAAAATGTATTTGATAGGCATGTTCCACCATAAAAAGCTACGTCTCTCAAACATAAATTGTTTATAAGTTCTACGTGTAAGGTGAGAAAATTATCCGGGAAAATTATGTTATATAAATATTACACATTTTCATTCACTAACTACACCACATTCAGAGATGATATCCTGAGCATTTATATTTGATATTTATTGAAGACGCTTGGTCAAGTCCAGTCTGTGGTTTTATTTCCTTTTAAATGATGAATATATAAATACTGCTGATAACATCACTTAAAATTCTTTAAATATCTGCCGGGTTTTTCTTTTAAGAAAAAATAAGTTCTTTTTTTTTAGAAGATTTGAAGAATTTCATTTTGTCGTCTCTGCAATAAAGAACAACATTTCCATGACATTTGACTTGGTGATTAAGAAATCTATTTTTTTTTCTATTTTAGTCTTTCATCATTGACTACCACCTATACTGTACATATATTCGATCTTTTGATTAGAAATAATCATAAGTGTTTAAAAAAAACACTCTTGTCAGAACGTATACCAACCCCCATAATCACGCCCATATATATTAAACTGTATTGCATACCGGTGAAACATTAAATTTTAAACCCGATGAAAATGACCCCATTTTGATCAATTTTCAACGTTTAAAATTGACTCCTTCGCGTTTTTTATTGACCCACACACACGTGAAAAAAAAATGATCCACGTTGAAAACTTATCAACTTTATAGACAGGCTATTCTTAGATATTGATAAGTGATAAAATAGTATAGCTTAACATGCCTATATATGGTCATACACATGAAACAGTAATATTTCTGTATTCCTGTCATGGATATTAATTCATTTATCTAAGTGGGTCTGCTAGTATTAAAGTGACTACCTTCTTCAGTTATTTCGTTAAAAAGATATCACATTAGTTATTACCCATTTACCACTCATAGAATGAATTTACAACACTTTACATGCGATGCTAAATTCAAAACTTCAAAAATCATGAAAAATAAGAAACAAGAACATCGAGTCCTTGCAATTACTTATATGCGGAATTTCGAAATAGATCTTTCTAAATGTCATTCGTCAAGATAAATAACACTACGAGAGGGTGAGTGGCGAAATGTGCATTTCTGTTTTAAAATTAATATTCTAGCCATGTAAAACTCAGCAATTTACAAGTTGTCAAGTAGGCTGTATCTACTTTTTTAAGTAAATTTTCTTAAAAAGCTTGTTAAAATATTGCCATAGCATCTTAAAATGGTGTTTTGTTCACGAAATGAGCAAATTTTCTAGCTAAGTTAGGATAATTATTCATTGTCCAGTTCTCATTGCGCTTTTGTCATAGTCGGCATGTAATCAAAATAGAAAGAAATACAACTTTGGTTATGTATATTCAAACAAACATATTAAAAAAACGTCAAGCGCACGGTGGAAAAAATACAACTTTAGAAATGTCTACAAATTTTAAGGATTTATTTATTTATTTATTTGTATGAAATACAAACTGTTGTCCAACGAAATGAATTCAATTATTGTTAATTATTGAAGGGGAGTGAATGCCTAAATATTTCTTATGAAAGTTATTTCCCTTCATTTATCATAAACACTATTTTCAATTAAAATTTTGTGGATTAATTTTCATGTATAGGTTAAAGTTTATTAGTACGTTTTAACAAAAAATAAATTGGCCAGGCGCGACAATTTATTTTGTAAATGCCTAATAATAAATTTTAACCGGCTAAGTGTTTTAGATTATTTTTGTATACTCTCAACATGTCTCCGCCCTCTTTCGTTACGCGATATTGATTGACACCCCGAAACACAAAAATCATGCCTGTCAATATCGGCGACGTCTGATCTTTTACCGTCTTACTTAATTCGTGAAGGTCAAGGATTATTATGTTTAATGTTTATAGTTATGATGTTTATAAGGACATTGGAATTCGCATTCATGACGATGGATCGTGTTTACTGCTTGAACAAATGAAATCTACGGACGAGTAATTTGTTAGTACAAAGTTATGTACCTATCCAGCATTACCTTGTTTTCAATTTTGCTCTTTTACTTTAAGTATTAATTGGAATATAAACCTGGATGTAACACCTTTTCTCATTTTTATTCAAAATCTCATAGCAGTTTTCGGCCCGTTTGCTTGTGAATATAATTCGGTACCAGTAAGTCATGTTAATTTTATCAAAACAAAACCGAACTTCCCAACCTTTTCCATGTGGTCTGAATATTGTTCAAAGTATTGATTTACCCAAAATGGGGCCTCAGTTATTGCACATGGGCATTCAAGCTAGAATTCCCCAGGTGTTGTTTATTTTTTAAATGTCACAAACTCTCTAAGGAAACTTTAAAGTGACATTATGCTCATATTTACATAGTCAAGTTGAGCTGAATTGACTTTATATTTCAAAAATTAAATAGTGTTTGACCAACAGTTGATATTGGAAAATGTTAAGGATAAAATTATAAATACGCCTAAGATTTAAAAAAGACTCCTCCACTTTTTTTATAAACTAAGAGTTATAGGTAAAGTCTAATGGATCTTTACAGAAATTTCATTTGGACCTGTGTGTTATTTATTTTTTTTATGCGAACTTTATTATCAAATTGAAAGGGATTAAAACAAAATGAAAACTTCTTTCGATCTTCACCCGTTCATTTACAGTATACCCTTGAATTGGAATAATATCACTTTCAACAACATGCAAAACTTCAAAACACTACTTTAACTGCGGTTTGCATAAAAAACGAAATGCTAGGAAACCAGTAATGTTTTCAGTTAAAACGTGCAAATTGAAACTGTTCACCATCTATTACATATAATTTTTGTTTCAGGAGAGAAAAGGTAATTTAATAAATGTTTGTTTTCACGGCTACTTTCTCTTTAATCCTATGTTTTTTTCACGATATCGTAAGACGAGCGTCTATCTCAATGTAAACAAAAAAACAATATCCCTGTAGCTCCGCCTCCAAGGCACACATGCGGAATAGCGTCGGTTTATCAGTTCATTCGATTTACCTGGTTAGTAGCACTGGTTGTTTAAAGCTCATTTACTTAAATAAATTCTTTCAAAATTTGAAAAATACTGCCATCTCATTGGACAAAAAATAATTTCAAACACTAATTGCTGTAGAACAGCACGGATGAACACTAATATACATATGATCTATACAATATACTTATTGAATATTTTTTTGGCCATTTCATTTTGAAAACTTGTTCCGGTAAGGTGGTTTCCTGCTTACATCTGTTGGTGCATGATTGAACGGGAAACCAGCTGCAATCGTGCCAATCGCAACTTTTCGGCCTTTTCCGTCACTCTTCGGATTAATGATAATAGCCGATGTAGTTCCGATTGCAATCGTGAGAATTCGGGCGATTCCGTCATACTGCGGAATCAGACGAAGTAATATTACGGAACTCTAAGCTATTTTAGTTACTTCGGTAATCCCAGTTTGTTTATATAAATAGGATTTCTATTTTCACTTGATTTATCGGTTTTAACCTTAATAAATTATAAACGAAATTGTTCCGTTTCAATTGTTTTTCAAGACGCAAAAGTTAGTTTCTTTTATAATTGTTTTTTGTCTGTATTAGTTTTATATAATAGAGAATGGTGACTGTAGTATTATTCCGTCTTCAAAGGGTGGTCCTGCTTACCAAATCACGCATGATCGAGTTATATTTAGATCTACTGAACGCAATTCAACTTCTTGGTGAGGTAATCTAAAAATAGCCCATGCATATCATTAACCTTGCCACGTGCTGATCTATGTAACATAGTTGATAATGCTTATTAATTGGTACCACGTAACGAAGTATTTTAGTGCATTTACTTGTCTATAAAGCAAAGGAATGATTTCGCTGCGAAAAAGGGGAAATGAAATGTGCACACTTGTTTTCCTTCAGTATCACGTTAGTATTTTTACGATTGATCATTTTCTTTATTAGTTTTATATAATAGAGATTATATTTCAAATCGTTTTGACAAAAAATATTCGGTTTTCCAAAAAAAACTAAAAAAAAACAACTTAATAAACCCTTTAAGATATACAAATACCGTAATTAAAAAAAATGTGATAATAAATTGAAACGAACAAAAAAAACAATTTTAAAGGGTTGGGATGAAGGCACAGCTGTGCAAGCCTTTCCTTTTAAAAGGAAACTTTATTATGAATTTGAATTGTCCTTTTATTGATATTCGTGCAATATGGGGAAGATGGCAGACAGAATGACCATCATGAGAGCTATGTTTTAAAGGCATGGGGAACTCACGACAACATGACATAACGTAACAATGAATAAAAATAATTTGAAATATTATTATTTAAATTCTAAAATGCAATAAAAGCCACTGAAGAATGCTGAATGACCGGTAACCATGGCAACCAAATGTTTTCATATGTACTTTTTTTATTAATTCAAACTATCAAACCTTTTTTTCAAACTTCATCCAACATGTACACTACGTAATCAAATAAAATATGTCTTTCAAAACTCTAGTACAAGAATTAACGAAAATTATGAAATATTTTCCAGTGAAAATACACCTAAATCTCAGAGTAAATCTATATTTTTAAGATGTGTGCGGGTAGTGCCTTTTCGTTCATGTATTTTTTCTAATAATTGTTGCATTAATTGATTCAAAACTGTCTGAAAGCCTTACCGTTATATTATTTAATTATTTTACGGGATGATACTTTTAAATTATACATCTACGTGAATACAACGTATCGCATACATGTAAAATTTGAATATGTATTAAATAATATATCATTGTGATCAGACATTACAAAACATAATGATGATAATAATAATAATGATAATAATGATAATAATAAGTTGATGTCTCCATGTGCATTAGTAGTACAGGGGACTCTTTAACACCACGACTGCACACGCGCGGCGGCCATTTTGTTTTGTATTTATAGTTACTCATTTGAATATAAAAATGACCTTAATACACATGCGCGGCAGCCATTTTGAATAACAGCTGCGCGGCGCCATATTGGATTCTATATTTAGAATGACATCATCGTTCTATTTTTAAAATGACATTATCCTTCTATTTTTAGAATGTTATCATCCATCTATTTTTAGAATGACATTATCGTTCTATTTTTAATCTCCCGGAATCTGACTCGTATAGTCGATCTAGGGCATGAATCGCGGACATTGAAGGTCAGGTCATATTTCAAGTGAAAATTATACACATGTATCCATAAAAAAAATATGAATGAATAAAATGACTTACCTTTCAATTAGGACATTTTGTATTTGAATAAAAGTCTGTATTATTCATATAGCATTATTTATAAAAATAGTATTAAAAACTGACTAAATATTAATATATTTTTTCAAATGTGTTTTTCTATAAACATTCCTTATAAAAGAAAATGCGTTAGTAATAAGATATAATTGAAAACTGACTGACTAATTGACTCTCTATAACACAATGAATAAGATAATTAATTTATTCATTTTAATGTGTTTCTTTATACACTTTTTTAACATATAACAAAATATATGAAATTAATTTTCAATTTAACTCGATATTATGACTCTGTCAAATAATGTTTCTATATAAAATATTAATAAGGACTTTTACTGTAAAATAATTTAATGCATAAAATGCGTAAAATGCATACATACGATGTTGACTCCTCGGCGTTTCGCAACGAAATGACTCTTTTAAGTTTTTTGCATTCCTTAATACGCATGACCGGTTCGAATGACCTTTTCAACTCATTTAAAAACGGACATTAGGCTATTCAGGTGTCAAAATTAATCCATTCAGAATGTCCACAATGTCTGGTGTATGTTGATTTAAGAGCAGATGTGCGGACAATGGTCCATTCAACTGTCAAAGTTAAATTTTTCAAGTTGCCACTCTGTCTGGCGTCTATTTATTTAGGGACGGATATGCGGACAATGGTCCATTCAACTGTCAAAGAGTCGCCACTTGGTTTGGCGTGTGTTGATTTAAGAGCGGATGACGGACAATAAAAAGGAAACATATCAAAGTTAATCTCCTACGTATGTTTATTTAAGACCAGATGGTTTAACAATAGCCTATTCTACTGTCAAAGTTAATCCCCTTAAAGTCGCCGCAATGTTTGACGCGTGTTTATTTAGAGACGAATACACTAACAAAGGACTATTGAGATGCCAAAGTTAATCCCTTTTAAGTCGCCATTACGTCTAGCGTGTGTTGATTTAAGGATGGATGGATTAACAATGCGTCTTATGTCAAGTTAATCCCTGTGCGTGTATTAATAAAGAACAGGAAGAAAGACGCCCTAATGTCTAGGATGTGGTTTCCCCGACCTGCATTATACGAATGAAAATATTTTTCTTTTTATTTGATTAATTTATTAACTCTTCAAAATGACCACTAAATAGACTCAGTTGGATAAATTTTGACATTATGTATCAAGAAAAAAAACGCCTTCTAGGGCCGAGGACCTGACCTTCAATGTCCGCGATTCACGCCCTAGATCGAGTATACGAGTCAGCTCCGTATACTTTCGGGAGATTAAAAATAGAACGATGATGTCATTCTAAAAATAGATGGATGATAACATTCTAAAAATAGAAGGATAATGTCATTCTAAAAATAGAACGATGATGTCATTCTTAATATAGAATCCAATATGGCGCCGCGCATCTGTTAATCAAAATGGCCACCGCGCATGTGTATAAAGGTCATTTTTATATGCAAATGAGTTAGTATAAATAGAAAACAAAATCGCCGCCGCGCGTGTGCAGTCGTGGGGTTAAAGAGTCACCTATACTACTTGCATTATTTTTCAATTACATATATTCATGTCATGTGTCATTTATATATTATATGTGGTTTTTGTATTCTTTTTATGCTTAAACCAAGAAATAAAATGTATGTCCTGTTCTGTTCTAATCATGGGGGTAAATTTTCAACGGGGTCAAATTCAATGTTACACCGGCAGATAAATAACAAACTATGTGTTTAAATCCAGAATAAGGGGCGTCCGTGGCCGAATGGTTAAGGTCGTTGACTTCAAACCACTTGTCCCTCGCCGCTGTGGTTTCGAATCCCGATAGGGACTTTGGATTCTTTCATGTGAGGAAGCTATCCAGCTAGCTTACGGAACCTTGAATGTTCTACTCAGGTGCCCGTACGTGCCGGAGATAATGCTTCCTCCACCAGTAAAGCTGGAACGTCGCCATATGACCTATAATGTGTCGCTGTGACGTAACACCCAATCAAAATCTCTTTACGGTACCTGTATAGAATATCGGTATTTCAGCCCTAATACAGTCATAAAAAATAACTTGAAATATGTTCAGTTGGTTGGTTTCATTTAGAGTATAATAATGATTGTTTCCCAAAACTTGACTTAGAAACTAAGATATTTGCATATGAACATTGACCCACAAATGATCGAGTGACAGTCCGTTTATAAATAGCAACGGTTTATATTAGCAGCTTAAAATAGTTTATGAAGTATGGTTATGAATATATTTGAGATTTAGCAAAAATGCACGAAAAGAGAGATTTATTTTTATATTCCTCGTTGGTAGTAAAAAAGTATTTTGTTTTTCTGAGAGTTAATCATGAGAGGGGCACAGCACAGGGTGTATGCGATCAACAATGCAAATGTAAATAAATATTAAAATGCACACCTAGAGTTATTAATAGACTTGGATAACCCAAGTCTATTAATAACTAGCACAGGGTTTAAGAGCAATCTAAATTAAGCAAATATTTATAAGCACACCTAATTATACATGTATATAGAGTTATTATTGGGAAACCGTCGTTGAAAAATTGCACAAATGGTTTTTTTCGTAATTTTTATAGTATATAATTTTTAAACATAATTTTAGTAATAATTTGCTAAAATAGTTCCTATATCGATCTATCTTCCGTTAATTTCAAACCCCTCGCGGGCACGTAGTTCTGGCTTCCAAAACGTTATAAGCCGCTCTTAAACATTTTTGTGTCATGTCATAGTATATAAACGGGAAGCGGGTACGTAGACATGTAATATATATAATATAAATGATATACAGGATAATAACCTATGCTTTTAGTGAAACAATTCAATTATAAAACAAACAGAAATAAAGGCATACCTGTATGAGAAGCAAATGAATCCGATATTATAAAAATTATTATATAAAATAATACTCTTGCGTTCATCGTCTCACAAGATAATCAAGAAGCTCCGGATATAGACAAATTCAGACCCAAAAATCTTTGCGCGCTTCGTCTCTGATTTTTGCACTCTCGTTAAACTTCGGCGATATCTGTGAATTATTGTTTACATTGCCGACAGGGAATTTCATCGGAGAAATATTTGTATGGAAACGTGTGTATTGTACGTTTAAGAATAAATAATTATTTTTTCTTATATAAGTAGAAAATGATTCGTCTTTTTTGTCGATGTACCTCAAATCTCGGAAAATCCCGCCACATATGATAACTTGCGTGAACAGACTTCCGCCGATACTGAATTTAACTGTGTGACGTCATGTAGAGAAGTCGGGATCCCAGAAATTTAATATAAATATAACATCTAAGTTGTCAGGAGATAAAAGACAAACATAAATCAATTTTATCTTTTATTAACTAGGAATGACATCTAGAGCTGTTAATGTTACAAAATACTGATTAAAAGTTGTTCAGTCAATATGTCAAAGTTGTGTATTATGTGTAGAGATTTAGAACTTAAACCAAATGCAATGTCCTGGGCTAAGTTTGTTATGTTTTTGTTACAATCCTTAAGTTTCAATGAAGTATGAATTAATAAGGGTTTTGGAGATGTAAATACGAGGGACGGTCAGAAAATATCCGAACTTTTCATGCTCTTCTCTTTCCACTTGCAGCTATATCCACACATTATATATTGGTGAAAACTACATTCATTCGCCTATAACGTGGTCAGTTTATTTTAAATGATAGTTGTGTATACACAGTATTTTGCCCTCTGGTATATGATAGGTGTTTCGTCTATCATGGGCTCTTTGTTAGTGTAATAAAGTTTCTGGTTGCAGAAGGTGAAAAGCCCTGCAACATATTTCAGAGACTTAAAAAGTTTACCTGATAAATGTGTATCACGTTCAACCTTCTACAACAGGGTTTCTCAGTTTCGTGAAGGCAGAACAAGTGTTTGTGACAGGCCTAGGACTGGGCGGCCAGCTGAGGCGGTGACCCCTACAATGGTAGCAAATGTTAAAGTTTTTGTCAACAAAAATCGGCAAATCGCCGAGTAACTTTGGAGGAGATAGCCAACAAGTTTAGCATCGGCACACAAGATTTTACACGATCACCTAGTCATGAGCAAGGTAAGTGCCAGGTGGCTGCCTAGACAGCTGTCCGCAACTCAAAAGGCAACCAGAGTAACCAATGCAAAAGAACATTTAAGTCGTTTTAATTGTGAAGGAGATAGGGTTTTAAACCGCATTATCACTGGAGATGAGATGTGGGTTCATTATTCCGAACCTGAGACAAAAGCTCAGTCAAAGCAGTGGAAACGAGCTGGTTCCCCACCTCCTAAAAAGTTTAAGCTGTCTCCTTCGGTTGGCAAAGTCATGCTTGTTGCATTTTGGGATTCACGAGGAATGATACTTACTCATTTCATGACAAAAGGTCAAACTGTCACCGCCAAGTACTATTCTGAAGTAATTCTGAAAAATCTCAGAGAAAAGCTGAAGCAAATGCGTCCCAGGTTAGCACAGAAAAATGTCCTCCTTCTTCACGATAACGCCCCCTCCCATACCGCCGCAGCTACAGTGGAGGTTATCAACTCTTACAAATGGCAATTGTTGTCTCACCGTTCTTATAGCCCAGACCTCGCCCCCCCCCCCCCGTGCCTTTTTTTGTTTCCAGAACTGAAAAAATTGCTTGTTTGAAAGAAATATAAGACCAGGGCGGCTTTGATATCTGCTGTTAAACAGTACCTTAAACATAGTTTACGTCATGGTTCACAGCGGGAATACAAAAGCTCCCACGAAGATGGCAAAAGTGCGTAGACGTAGGTGGGGAATATTTGAAAAAGAGTAGAAAGATTTTTTTTTAAAATGTTGAATGGTTTTCGAGAACGAATCAAAAGTCCGGATATTTTCTTACTTCCCCTCGTATATTTAAGCAGTAGTAAAACAAAGATTAACTGATACTGATTTATATAAAATTGGTATGCAACACTAATAGATTCATTAAGAACAAGAAGTTATGTATTATTTTGTGATTTTGGTTCTAAATCATATCTGTCAGTGGTTAATATTGAAAAGTTTGGGAAGTCTTCACATAGATTAAAAGTTGAAACCGGTAGATGGCTTAAACCTGAAGCCATTCCTAATAATAATAAAAAATGTATTTGCTCAAAATTAGAAGATGAATTTCATGTATTCTTAGAATGTCCGCAGTACAATGTTTTGAGAAAACAGCTTATAAATAAATATATTTGGAAAAGACCAAAATTAAATATACCAAAAATTATTGAATTGTTAACATTTCAAAAAGAAAATTATCAATGTTTATCTTTTAACTGTTTGAATTTAGAACAAATATTGAATACTCGTAAATTATATTAGCTTGGAAGGTAAATTTGGCAACTTGAATACAGAATTTTGGCTACGTAAGATGGTCCATATCTGTGGGCTGCGTACTTTGTTGCCGATGCCTGCGTTCCGTTCAAGTCGGCATTCAATGTATATCTTTGTTCTCACATTTCCAATATTCAATATTGTCAATTGGTCAAGAAAATTTTCTTTAGTCATTTTATCGGCAAGAAATATTTTAATATGTTTACGACATTTAAAGCGCTAATCAAGCACTATTTGAACATTTACAATGCAAATAGAATAGTCAAACTGGTTCCGAAACTGAAACTTTATTGTGAACGAAATTATACACTATTGTACCTCTCAGGTCTGAAGTATTTACAACAAATGGCTTCTGAAGGAGAAACGGAATTAAGGTTTGACTTAATGACCGCTGATGGAACTACCGTGTATGAAACTTTCCGGAACTTTAACAGAGTAAAAATGGTTTTGGAATAGCGGGTAAGAAATGTTTTGGAAATACTTATTCTGATGTGTTTTTCAAGAATGTTATACACACATGTTCAGCAGGTGTCATATGCTTTGTTACAGCCATAACAAGTTGCCAAGAATCTTATGTTAATGTCTTCTTGACCATCGAGATCATTTATTGTAATACTTCTTCAGTTAAAGTTTTAATACCATTCAAAGTCGTGCAAGGGGCTTGAGAGATGTTGCACATTACATGATCTTCTATGAAAAGACTTAATAAAACCGAGTCTGCATTGTCAATTTTTTGCTTTGTTTTTATTACTCTATACTATCAAGGGATCACTCTTTTCAAGAATTTACATATATAGGATCTTTATTTAAAGCTTTGTTAAAATTGTAAATGGTAAGAATATCACATCCTCCAAAACACAGCTCTACCTCTCTAAAAAGACTTTTGTTAAAGCTAAATGTGAGTACTAGAACAAGAAGGTAGGTGTTGTCAAGATTTTTAAATTTATTCTTTAGAATGATGAGCTTTATTTAAAATCGGAGAATGAGATCGAACCAAATCATGTTTAAACCACACAAATACCTTTATGAATACCTTGATAATTTTTTCAAATATTCAATTTTCAATAAAGATCGTTATTTCAAAATGTAAATTGCAAATCATGACGCTTGAGCAACGAAAACAAAGTTGCAGATTCGGATTGAGGTTTTTCTCCAAAATTATACCAAATTCCTTATCATTGTATAGACATGACTCATTCACATTGATGTGCCAACTTCAAAATCATTTTGTTGAATGTCAATGTTCACATTTACAGGTTGGAGGCAGGGAATCAGACAACGTTTACCCAGCAGGGGACTTGTCTGTGACAAAATATAATAAACAAGATCAAAAAGAAAACCTCAAAATCGCAACCCCAAAACGACATAGCAACATGAACCAGCAGCAAGAAGCCCTGGAGGACAACAGACAAAAATAGGACAGGGTACAAGGCAGACGGTGGACAGGTTAATCACATAAATGAAACTTAAAGAGAAACAATAGTTGCCGATAAGGAAATCAAAGAAAACAAATAATTGATTGATTAAAAGGCCCACAAAGTAAAAAGGCACAGGGGAAGGGGACTCGAGATTCGGGGAAGGGAGGGGCAAAATTAAAAAAAAACTCATATTTGATATAAAAAAAACATCTTGGTGATGGGTATATTAATTACGGTATGTCACAATGGAAGACTTTTTACGACAAAAGTGCGCAGTTAATTGTCAAGTAATCAGTTCAATACCATTTAAGGACCATGAGCAAAATGTTCAAAAAAGTCAAAATTACAGATATTGTAGACAATTAACAGAGAATAGAAGCTGAAATTGAGTTTTTTATTCATACAATGTACGTTAAGAAAGACCCTATATCTGAAGACGGGGTCATAGTTTCAAGCTCGACAAAAGTTAGCTCGTTGGTATGCATGCATCTGTCCTCGGTAACCCAAGCGTTATCGTTTCGTATACACTTCATTCGTGATGAATCAAGTTCGGAGAAATCAATGCGTGTGGGTTCCGACGATAACATGCCTCGTAACTAAAAAATACACAACTTTCTTACATCAAAAAACAATTTCATGAATTGCCATTCTGGTTACAGTTTTGACAGACACTTTTGAAGATAGATGCTTATACAAATTTGCCACTTCCACCTATCCTTTGGTTTGTACATTTTTGCTATCTTGTAATTTATTGTATGCATTACTTCATTTTGCTTTTAATTTGCTTCATTGTGTTGTTAATAAAATATTTTCCGCTTTATTTGTATACTTGTTATTGACACTTTGATGAGCTTCTCAGTATATACTGTTATATATACTGGGGCCTAGTTCTTCTGTCTAATATGCGGATTTGTTGTATTTCATACTAGTTATTTAAAACGACGTTTAAACAACAACAACAACACGTACAGTTTATCAAAATATTATTATTTCGTTATAGTCGCGTTTCGGTGAACAACACCTTCATCAGAATAATAATAATCAAAAAAAAATTCTTATACTAGTTATTTAGCAGTTATAAGTCACTGTAAAATGATTTGATTCATCAGGTGACTTGCTGGTATAATAAATTTGTCGTAACTAGTTGAGTTTTACATTATATTCATTAAGTGAATTATTTATTATGCTCAGCCTTTGTGAAAAAATAAGCTTAGATGGAGAACGAAATGCTTCAACCTGAAAGCTTTTATTGTTA